TGTCAGGGGAAGGGGATGTTGGGGGTCTCATGGGAGGGGAAGGGGGTGTCGGGGGTGGGGGGAGTCTCATGGGAGCAGAACATGTCGGGGGGCTGGGGCGGGGGACCTGGGGGTGTCAGGGGAAGGGGGGTCTCATGGGAGGGGAAGGGGGTGTCGGGGGTCTCATGGGAGCGGAACATGTCAGGGGTCTGGGGCGGGGGGCCTGAGGGGGTCTCACAGGGGCAGCAGGGGGTCTGGGGGAAAGGTGGGTCTCAGGGGGATCCCAGAGAAGTTGGGGGGGGGGGAGTTCCCCACTCACCAGGCGTTTCTTGGGCCGGATGAGCGGCCGGTTCTGCCCGTTCATCTTGTGGTACAGCCCGCAGGCGTTACACAGGTAGTGCCCGGTGCCGTCCCGGCGCCACAGGGGGGTGGCCGTGGCCCCGCAGTTCACGCACTCCCGCGCCTCTGAGGGATGGGACAGGGAAACTGAGTCAGCGACGGGGCCTCTCCCCCCAGGGGTGCCGTCCCCCCACGCCTCCCAGCCCGCAGGAAGCTCTCACCGCATGGGGACAGCTGCAGCGGCCCCCTGAGTTTGGGGGAGTACCCAGCCGTCAGGGGGCTCCCGCTGGGCTGGTAGAACCCGAACTCCGGGGTCCCGGTGTAGGCGGGGTGGGGGGCCCCGGCAGGGGACCCCAACGTCAGCAGCTCGGTGGTGGAGGGGCTCGTCGGCTCCGTCTTCAACATCTCCAGGAACTTGGGGCTGCCCTTGTCCTCGGGGGGCTGCTCCTTGGGCGAGGGGGGGCTGTAGGAGGAGGAGGAGGGGGGAGCCGGATAGAGGGGGACCCCGGCCTGGGGCTTGCCGTAGGAGACGGGGGTCCAGCCGGCCGTGGCATACGGGTGCCCGTCCACCCACTGCAGCCCATTGAGGAGGGGGTACATGGGGCGCGCTGCAGGAGGTGGAAAAGGAGAGGAGAGGGGTTAGTGGAGGGGTATCGGGGGCACATGGAAGGAACCCACAGCTGCCACGGGGACACAAAACCCGTCGCCATGGCGAGGCCGGGGCCATGGCAACCATGGGATGAGGCCATGGGGAACCACGGCAGGAGAAACCCCGACAAGGGGCGGGCACCACGGCGACCACGACAACCCCACACAATGGGATAGCAATGGCACTGTTGCCATGCCAACCAGGCAGGCGGCAGGCCATGCCCACTCCCTCCCCACAGGAGCCCTGGGGACACCACAGGCAGCCACGCAACCGTGGCCCCAGTAGCCGTGGCAACCACACAGCCCGCGGTAACGGTGCCCTCTGTGGGTAGCCCCAGGCGATGCCCCTCCGAGGAGCCCTGCGGTGGGCGGGCGGGCTCTGGCAACCTACCCGGCGTGCTGCGGTAGGACTCCGGTGTCCGGGAGAAGTAGGTAGCGAGGGCCCCGGGGTCCCCGCCCTCGGCTCCGTGGAAGAAGACCGCGGATTCATCGGCCGGCGGCAGGAGGGGGGGCTCCAGGAAATGGGGGGTCATCTCCTGCCCCCCCAAGGTGGCAAAATCCATCCCAGGCACAAGAGCTCCTGACCTAGATGGGGAATTTACATGAGGGACAAGACACAGGGTGTCAGGACTCCTGGGTTCTCTCCCTGGCTCCGGGAGGGGAGTGGAGGGGAGCCAGGACTCCTGGGTTCCACCCCTGTCTTGGGGAGGGGAGTGAGGTCTGGTGGTTAGAGACGCAGCCAAGAGCAAAGCAAAGTTTAAAGAGGAGGCAACGCCGGTCGGTCTCCCCCAGCGACCGCGAGCGGCCGGCCCTCCCCCTGGACCGTCAAGGACACGTTCCCGGGGGGGAGAAGCCCGTTCTTGAGAGAGGCCACGTGTGAAAACGGCTGTTCGTTAGCGTGCAAACGCACCGATTCCACGTGCGAATTGGGCCAGGTCGGGGGGAGGCCGCTGGCTGCCGTGTTTTGCCAGGCGAACGGTTTATACAGAGTTACCGGTTGGCATCTCGAGGGCAGGGCCGTGCACGCACCAGCCAGGTCACCATTCTCACAACGGCAGGGGCTGGGGGACGAAACCCACCCGCCCGGCCCCAGGTTCGGGGGGCACTGAGAGACGCAGGGGAGCCCCGGCCGGACCGAGGGCACGAGCACAAGGACCGGGCCAGGGCGGAGCGAGAGGCCCTGGGGCCACGAGGGGAAACGTGGGGCTTATGGGACCGAAAACAATGGGTCTGTCCCTCCCCCGATGCCTGAGCTCACCCTTCCCTCCCTGCATGGCCCCCCTCCCTTCACCCCCCACACCTCCATACCCCCATCCCTCCCTCCATCCAGCCCCCACACCCCCCATCCATGCCTCCCTCCATCCCACCCCTCCCTCCCTCCTTTCCTACATGGCCCTCCATCCCTCCCTGCATCCCTGCATCCCTCCATCCAGCCCCCACACCCCCCATCCATCCCTCCCTCCATCCATCCTCCCCACCCATCCCACCCCTCCTTTCCTACATGGCCCTCCATCCCTCCCTGCATCCCTCCATCCAGCCCCCACTCCCCCCATCCATCCCTCCTTTCCTACATGGCCCTCCATCCCTCCCTGAACGCCCCCCCTCCCTCCCTCTGCCTCCCCTTCATCCCTCCAGCCCCTCCCTCCATGCTCATCCCTCCCTCCTTTCCTACACGCCCCATCCATCCCCCATCCACACCCCTCCCTACCCAGCCCTCCATCCCCTCCACCCCCCTTGTTTCCCCATCCCCACCTCTGTCTCCAGCCAGCCAGCCAGGCCCGGGGACCCCACCCCTATATATGGCCAAGGGAGGGTTACCCCGGAAGGCGCTGCCCCTGCCCCGACCAATCTCTGCATCTCTCTGTCTATCTCCCCCCATCTCTCCTTCTCAGAAGTGGTGCCTCCAGCCCGGCCGGGGAGGCCCCTTTCCTCCCGGCCCTATCCGCCCCCCGATCTCGCACGCAGCCCCCCAGCGGCCGCCAGGGCCTGGCCCCAGCTGTGAACCCAGGAGTCCTGCCCCCCCACTCCTCTCCCCAGGGACTGAACCCAGGAGTCCTGCCCCCCCACTCCCCTCCCCTGGGACTGAACCCAGGAGTCCTGCCCCCACCCACTCCCCTCCGCAGGGACTGAACCCAGGAGTCCTGCCCCCCCACTCCCCTTCCCTCCCCTCCCCTCCCCAGGGACTGAACCCAGGAGTCCTGGCTGCAGGGGCGGGGGGAAGAGGGTGGCGCAGTGCAGAGGAAGTCGGCACCATCTCAAAACTGATTTCAAAAGCTGCCCTTGCCTCATCCCTGCCAACGCAGCAGAGATGGGGCAGATAACACGGGGCGGGGGCAGCGAACTAACCACCCCACAATGGAGGGGGGCAGGGAGCCTGGGTTCTCTCCAGCTCTGGGAGGGGAGGGGGTCAACTGGGGTTAGAACGGGGGGCTGGGAGCCAGGTCGCCTGGGTTCTCTCCGGCTCTGGGAGGGGAGTGGGTCGACTGGGGTTAGAGCAGGGGGGCTGGGAGCCAGGTCGCCTCGGGTTCTCTCCGGCTCTGGGAGGGGAGTGGGTCGACTGGGGTTAGAGCAGGGGGGCTGGGAGCCAGGTCGCCTGGGTTCTCTCCGGCTCTGGGAGGGGAGGGGGTCGACTGGGGTTAGAGCAGGGGGCTGGGAGCCAGGTCGCCTGGGTTCTCTCCCGGGCTCTACGTAAAGGTCGGTCAGGGGGTGTATTTCCCCACCCCACTCTGTGCCCTGTTCTTCTCACGTTATGAATTTTGTTGCTCTTTTAATCTCCTGTCCATTCGTAAATCACAATTCAACCCAGCCCTGCTCCCACCACCCAACACACACTCCCAGCCCCCCCTCACCGCACAAATGCACCCCCTTCGCCGCTACTTAACCATCCCCACGGTGCCACCCCACCATGATCAACACACACACAAACCACTGCCCCGAAACAACGCACAATCCCAGACCACGAGGACACACACCCAGCAGAGCTCAGCCTCGCCAGCAGGGGCATCAGGGACGGACACACACACACACACACACACACACACTCTACAAAGACAGGCAAAGAAATCCAGACTAAATCACAACTCCCTCCGCGACACACAAGCACTCTCCAAAATACCACACCCTAGAAAAACACACAAACACCCCACAAAGCCAACACTCAGCACCCCCAGAACAACAGACTCACATGTCGGACAACACACGCAGAGAAATACATCCCAAAAAAGCCCCCCCACCCAGCCACAACACGCTGCTAACCCACGGATACGACACACACAAGCTAACAAGCCAACACAAATCCCTGCCACACAAACAGCTAAGACATACACACCCACCAAACAACCACAACAGCCCACACAGACATGCCAAATCAACACAAACAACACATCAAGTCACAGCCACCGAAACTATCGCCCGCCACATGAAACACACCGCACAGGCAGTCCCAAACAGCGCACCCTCCCCCGGCCCCACCACCACAGCCCAAACCACACACAGCATAAACAACACACACAAAAACACACAGATGCACCTTCAGTACTACAAAAACACAGCCCAGTCCCACACAAAGAGACACAACCCAGAGAGAGACACCCCTCAACACCACTGCAAAGACACACAACCCAAACACACACCCCACCACATCCCGGAGACAGACACACAAAGACACACAACCCAAGGGGACATCCTCTCCCCACCACTACAAAGACAAACAACCCAACCACCATCACAACCCAAACCCCCTGAACACTACAAAAACACAGCCACACACACACACAATCCATGGGGAAACACCCTCAACACCACCGCAAAGACAGACGCACAGCACCACAACCCGAATGTGCAACCAAAGGCACGCACCCTGAATGCGACAAAAACTCCACCCAAAGACACACACACAACCCCTCGACACCGCCGCAAAGACAGACACACCACCACAACCCAAAACCCACCCCCCATGACAGACACACTCCAAACTCCCCCTGCGCACCCCCCCATCACCCCCACTTCCATCTCCTTGGGCCATTTTCACATCCAGCTCCAGGATGGCCCCTGCCCCCGATCTCTGCGTTGTGTGGGTGTGTACCAGGCCGGAGGGGGAGGAAATCGGACGTGTGGGGCCCAACGATTATACAGCCCTTATCGGGATTAGGGCCTCAGATAAGAAATAGCCGGGAGATAATTTTTATCTCCCTTGCCTTGACGGGCAGCTCACACGGCAGTCACAGATTTGCCCCGATGCGGCTCAGTGGGTAGAACAATGTGTATTGTAACCCCCCACCCACCCCAGAACGGGGACGACATCCCCTCGCCCCCCCTCCACGATTTACCTCGCGAAGGCTTCGAAAGAACCCAGGCGTCCGGGAGGCTGAGAGGAGAGAACGGAAGGTAAATTGCTGATCCTCTGGGGTATTGCGCAGAGGAGTGGGGTCGGGGGGGGGAAGAGAAATGTCTCGAGATGGGGGTGGTCTCCCCTCCCCCCCCGGACTGGACGTTTCCAGACAAGGGTTCCCCCCCGATCCCCGTACGACCAGCTGGGGGGAACTCAAACGGGGGGTGGGAACCCCGACATTAACCTGCAACGGACCCGCTGGGACCTGCCAGTCTTCTCACCCCTTTTCCTAGTGTGATCCGTCCGTCTGCCCCGCCCCCCCACCCCGCCATCCGTCCCCCCACCACACCCCGCCATCCCCCACGCCCTATCCACCCATCTCCCCCCCGTGCCCCCTGGCACCCCCACCCCGCCATCCGCCCCCCTCACCCTCCTGTGCCCCCTGGCACCTCCACCCCGCCATCTGCCCCACCACCACCCTCCTGTGCCCCCTGGCACCCCCTGTGCCCCCTGTTCCCAGTGCCCCTGGCACCCCCGCCAGCCCTCCTCCGTTCCCAGTGCCCCCTGGCCCCCCTGCCAGCCCTCCTCCGTTCCCAGT